CCTGTCATAGAGACCCACTCCATCACAGCCATTACAGCGAGGGACACGGATGTTTGCAGCGTGAAAGGACACGTCACAGAGCGGAGAAATTACAGAAAATCCTCTTAGCAGAGACACTGGTGGGGTTTAACCATTTCAAGTAGAGCTCCATTCACTCCTCATTTGTATTTTTTAAAAGTATTTTCTTTTGCTAGAGCCTTCGTGACCTCCACCGTGTTCAATGAAATGCCTTTTTTTTTTTTTTTTTGCCCCCCTTACACGTCCACAGTGTAAAGAAACGACTCATTTCAGACAGAGGGAAAAGCTTGGTGCTGAAGACAGACCCGGCTCTCCTGCTGTCTCTGAACATGGCAGCACAAGCTCCAACTCTTCCCCCACGCTTTTCCTGCTTGTCCCTAAAAATGCTGAGTAGCTCGAGGCTTAGGATGCTCTGACGGTTCGTACGTTGCCAAAAGTCACCGCAGGGAAGAGGAGGAGGAGGAGGGAGAGGAAAATCTCCATAAAAAGGTTTGGATTCCTTTTTTCTCAATCCTCAACTGGGTTTTGACTCAAATCTCTTTTACAGTCTTGAACAAAAGGAAGGCATTTCTTCTCCTCTTTTCCTTTTTTTTTTAATTTTTTCTTTGCTCGATTTAGAGGCACACAGGCCTGTGTTTGTGGGATAAACTGATCTGTATGATGCTGATGGAGGAGTAGCCTGCAATCAGTTCATGGAAACTACTGCCTGCCTGCCTCCACCCTTTTGTCTTTGTTTCAGGCTCTACATTGCACTATATTAGTGCAGCATGATATGCACATGTGACTTCTACCTTCTATTGCCATAAAACACTGCCTCTTCCACAGACAAAAACCATAAAGCAGAGGAACAGCGAGAACTTTCAAAAGGGAAAACGACGGCGACAGGAGTTGTTTAGATGTGTCACATTCAACAAGGTGTGAATCTCAAGTAAATATATGTATAGATTTTTTTTTCTCACAACGATTTTTTGGGTTGTAGTAAAAGTACCTTTTGTGGTTTGTAGATTTCGTCCGGTGTTATTATTTCTGCCCAGATGCAATTAAAGACTTAACTATGGTATCAGCAGGTGACTTCGTTAGAATGACTCGCCTGCTTTAAAAGTTCCTTTTAACCATAAAAATTCAGACTCAATTTACTTTTGTTTAACCTACAGTCGTACATTGTGGGGGAAGCTGACGTTTCCCAGTGATCAAAGAACAAGAAAGATAAATTTAAACCATTCATGTCACGCAAAATGTCATTTCTGCCTTACTGATGATAACTAAATACTAACAGTCCTGTAATACAGTTTCTAATACTTGAAGAGGCATACAGCAAACATTATTCACCACATGTAGATGTAAAAGAAGATTACATTTTCTTTCCTTTTGAGGACACTTAGCACTTAGCAAGTATACGTCAGAGTTTTTAAAACTTTCTCATGTAGTAATCCGTATCATAGGTGCTCTGTCGTTTTTCACTCACACTACATGAGGTGAAATATAGTTAAAAAAACAGTCTGTACAGACAGAAATTATACAACATGTTAATAATAAGAGAACGCGCTTCTGCTAAGTTCAACGTAAAAGCAAACTGGTGTGGAGAATGTTTACTTTTTTGTTGTGGGATTTGTAAATAACAGCAATTTTTTTATTTTTTTGGAAAAAAAAATATCAAAAAGTATGTGTACATTTATTTTGTATTGCACAGAAAATGTTTAGTTTGAATATTGCAAAGTGGGGTGTGTGATATTGCTGATTGTTGTTATCATGATGCAAGTTGTATGTTGTGAACAAACAAAAAAAGGACAGAAAAAAGCAGAAAAAGATGAAAAGGCTCAGCAGTTTTGTACAGGTTGTTTATATGTATGGGAAGAATTACTGAAAATAAATAAGGACACGGTTGTAAAACAAAGTTATTGAGCCATTTTTGTATTTTTCTTTATATTTTCACAATAGAGCACAATCCCTTCATACTGGCATTAAAGAACAAGGCTGATGTTTTCTTATCCATCTTCTGTATTGTCAACAAATCCCATAAAAAGACCCAAACAGTTATCACCCGACTGATGCTGATATCTATATTTTATGATACATAAGCTGTTAATTTTAATATAAACGCAAACAAACTTGATAATATTTGTTATTTTAAAGCACCGTGATGAAGATGCATACACTATGTGGGACATTTTACAACCTGTAGTTGCTCTTTGGTGGACACACGCTGACACTGTTGACACACGCTGACAAGTTATCTTACACCTAATTTGGCATTTCTGGGCTGCACATAAACCAATTTATTGGTCTAGCTCCTCTCTCAGTACTCTCCAGCTTCCCTGCCCTGTCTGAGGCTCCATTTGTTCCAATCGGAAGACAAATCTCAGAAATATACAACGGGGTCAGTTACTCAAACAGGAGTGAAAAGTGCATTTGTTGGGGACTATTTTCAGCTGTGGATTAATACATGTTTGGTGCTCTAGTATCTCATATGAGGGATTCACTCAAAAGATAGAAGGAACACATCACCCAGTGCAACAGTGTGGCTCAGTGATGAGAGAGGAATAAGATGCATCAGGCTTTGGATACACAAACACAACACTTGCTAGTAGATCAATTAATTGTTGGTTTTGGTCTTTTCATGGGTTTTGTTCACTATAAGATAAAGACTATCATCCTAAAGGAACAATTAGGGGGTTTAACTTTAAATTTAAGGTTAATTTAAAGCCTCTGCAAGGAACTTTTTCTGTACCGCCTTGTTTCATTGATTGATTTCACTGGCTGGCATTAAGAAGAACGACACAGAAACAGCCAATCTTCTCACTGATGGTCTGGTTTATGTGGGTCTTACAGAGGCATCAGTATTACACTGAATCATAACCAGTTAAAAACATTTGTCCACTGAGTTTACAAAGTACAATTAAGATCTTATTTTGCATTTTGATTCAAAGTTAAGATGCGTGTGTGTAGATTATGGGAAAATAAAGCTTTTAAGAGTCACTCCACCTTTTTAGACATTTTATGTGTTGGTGTCAATTTAGTAACAAAGGAAAAGGAGATGCTGTCAGCGCACTGACATTTCCCAGCTCCCTCCCCTCTCCATTTCCTTTGTTACTCTTTGTTGTCCTGCACCTGTAACAGACTGGGGCTGCACACTATTGACAGTTTTCTTTTGCAATGTCATTTTAGTAGTCATGATTAGTACCTCTCAGCCTTTAAACATGTATAATGTCTTCTGTGGCTCTAGAGGAGCTTTGTCATGTCAGGGGAAAAAAAATCACTCAGACGCCATCAGTGGAGTCATTTTGGGGCTTCAAGACTCCAAATTTTAACCAGAAAGTCCGTGGTACAAACTGGGAACGTGGAGTTTTAAAGATGTGGATGTTTACCAAGGAAATATACTATCAAGTTGCATTATGGGAAGTGTATAATCAAGTGTTTTTAAAGGCCCAGTGTGTAACATTTAGGAGGATCTATTGTCAGAAAGGGAATATAATATTAATAGGTATGTTTTCATTAGTGTATAATCTCCTGAATATAGGAATTGTTGTGTTTTTGTTACCTTAGAGTGAGACGTCTTTAATCTACAGAGGGAGCCGGTCCTCTTCTACTGAGTCTGCCATGTTTCTACAGTAGCCCAGAATGGACAAACCAACCAGTCTGGATGGGGTATTTTGCAGCCATCATAGTTTTCCCTACACACTTGGAAGGCAAACAGTATTTATTTGGTAGCAATCTGCAACTTCACCACTAGATGTCACTAAATCCTTCACACTGGACCTTTAACTTTAAACAGGACAAAGCCTCTGCTGCGTCATTTCTTTTAAAGATTTGCCTAAAAAAAAAAACAAAGACCACCAACTTTGAGGAAGTGCAATGATGAATCCCTGCAGAACTTTGATAGAGATGTTTGCCTGTTGCTCATTTGGTTTGGCACTTGTTTACAAAGTATAAAAACCGTTATCGCATACGCATGGCATTGTTTCTTCAGCACACATTTAACTCTTAATCATGCTTTTAAATGTTGACTAAAAGCTGAGTCTCGTAATTGTATTGAACATCCACATTCTGCACTTTTGGCACTTGTGTTCAATTTTTTTATTAAATAATTACTCTAAACAGTTGTATTCTTTTTTTTTTTAATATATATACAATAACCAAAAACTTAAAAAAATAAAGTAGTTTTTTGTTGGTGTGACCAAAAAAACAGATTTTGAAAAAAAACAGGTTTTTTATTTGGCATTAAAACTTAAATAACCTTTAAAATGTTTTAAATTCAGGTTGCTTGAATAATAAGTAGCTGGCACAACTAAATACGGGCAGAGCTATAACACAGTTTAATATTTAAATGGGGTACGGCATACAGCATACATTTCTCTCTGACCTAAAAAGGACTAAATATTCTTTGTGAGGTTACTTTAAGATAATAAACTTTGATCAGATCGGGTTCAGGACCTTTCAGGCGCCACCTTCTCAACCTGAGATCAACATGGCTGCTTCATGTATCTCACTGATGTTTTCAGCATCTGATGTAAAGGAGAAAAACGGCCACTAGATGTCAGCCCCTGACGATGTTAAAAGAAAAGTTGGTTCTCAGAAGTCTATAATGTGAACCTCCTTCTCTGCTCCCCCTTTCTCCCTCACTCTATTTGTCTCTCCATCCCTCCCCCACTCTCTCTTCCCCTATCTCTCTCTCTCTCTCTCCCTCTGAACCTCAGAGCGCGCTATATAAAACATCCCTCCACACTGACACTCAGATGTACAAACACCTCGCTTCTCACCACAGCGCCTCCAAAGCTCGCATCCCCAAATCACCCCCGTGAACACGTTTTAACAGCAGACATCTGACCCTCCTGAATGAGCCTGAGAAGACTCATCTCTGCTCTCTCGCCTCAGGACCGCCGCCTTCCTCACTCTTTATTTCTCCTCAAGTTCGGCAGCTGATACCGGCTCAGTCAGGAGGAGATTTCTTTTTTTGTGGCTGAGAAGATCAAGGACAGTTTGATATGAGGGGAGACGCTCCACAAAGAGGCATGAAGACCACATGTCTGTGGGCGGCTGCTGTGCTGCTGTCAGTCATCTCTCTGGTGAGTTAAATGTGATTTTAATTTGACCTTTTCAAATGTCTTTTTACATCTCTAAAAATGTCTGATTGATATTTGGCAGCAGGAATATCGAGGAATGTTGATGAGTGAGTTTCAGGTTTCAGGAGCTCGGTGTAAAAACAAGCAAGATTTAAGTCAGAATTTATTGCTGCAAGATCACGTCTGTTGCTGTCTGAAAATGTGAAAGTCTCCAATATGTGAAGCAAAATGTCCTTTTTTTGATTTCCTTATTTTCCATGTGCTATAGTAGAGTTAAAGGCATGTTTTCCTTAAATTTAAGTCCTGTAAAGACAAATGACACCACCACAAACCAGATTCCCCCCCCTGCTCTATGCATCGACTCATTAATATCTTTATAAGTGAACAAATGTCAGTGTGAACACAAGCTTTCCAAATCCTAAATCTGCATCTTGACAAATCCACCCTCAACACAGTCCCGCTGGATATTTCTCCCTCAGCACTATCCATTCAATCCTTCTTTTGCATTTTCCCCTCCTCTCGCCCATTTACAGATGCAGTTCAATAAGAATATATTTGACAGTACGGCGGAGTACAGCCTGAGCCCATTATGACAAACATACCAGAATGCTCCTAACTCAGTGTCTTGACAGTTTGTGACAACCCAATTCCTTTAATCCTCGCAGAGACAGTAACCCCTCACCCACTGATAAATCTGTCAACAAAGCAATCAAAGCAGAACAGGAGCCACTCCTCTCTCCAACAAAAAATTCCATAAACTTAATCCCCACAAACTTGACTGGCCTTAAAAAGCTCCCGTGGTGTTATCTGTGTTTAATTTGCATAGTGATGGAAAGAAGTCAATTACTATTAATTATTCTCTACAACTTAATACCCATTATCGAATTGAATTCACCGTCTTGAAAACCATAAACTCAATTTCACAGCTGACTAAGCGCACTAATCATTTCACCCCCCTTCCTTCCCTCTTTTTTTTTTTACTTTACGAAGCCTTTCCTGCTTTGAAGGAACACAAGGATTCTTCGATTTCAGAAGCAATAACATTAACTAACATGGATTTCCCTATTGTCACAGCTTAAAGACAAACATTCATCATTAAATATGTGACTTATATGTACAATAGCATCATAGTAGCGTGAGCTGATCTCATAGCATCACTTGATGGGAGTGTTTTTTTCCAGACTGGGCTGCCAAATTGCTTCGCTATGCTTTAATGGGATGATCATAATTGTTTCGTACTCGGTGCATCCTAAGCTTTCGCCTGCAGCTCCTTCAACAGATTGACAGACCCATGGGAACCTCACAAACTTATTTTGGCCGCCTTTGAACCAACTCGTGTGTGAAATAATATGATTATGCATTTTTCCTCTGGGTAAGTTGAAAAACTGGTGGCTAGGTTTTTTTTTTTCTCCCCCCCCCCCTTCCTCTCTCTCTCTCTTTTCGACTTGTGTTTGCGTTACCAGGCCCGCACGGTACAGGCCTCGTGTCGGCTAGGCCCCGAGCTCGCTGTTTTGATTGCCATGCACTGTTGAGCAGACCTTTCCGGGGAGAGCCGCCGCTCAGCACCGCGGACAGCTGCACGGCGGCGCGGAGCTGTCCGCGGTGCTGAATGACGCTCCGCCGGCTCCATTCACAGAAGCCCTGGCCAATCCCAGATGGCCTCCATTCAGCCAACCAGTGGCACAGACACAAGCATGATAGCATGATTGGCGTTCTTCACGCCTATCTAATAAGGCCATCTGCCTGCTTATACAAACCCAGTGCATTGTGGATAGACCCTGCATGAGAGCTGGGCCTAGTTTGCAAGGCTAGCTTAAATTTACCACAAACTGAACACACCCACCCTTTTTTTTTTTTTGCTGTGGATGTTCATTCAAAAAAGCGATTCATTCAATTCTTTTATAGTTGTCTTTCTCTGCTTGGATGTCTTAATCCCCCGGCAGAGACAACACAGGCTTTTTAGGCGAGATAAATCCAGCATTCATATGGTTGTAGACCTCACATTCTTACTTATGTAAACACTCACACACACACACTGTGTACACAG